TATCAGTTTGCCATCTTAAAAAAAATGTTGTGTACTTTTTCTGAAAATATCGTTTGATTTCGAATTAAAGAAAGCCAACACCTTTTTTTTTCACTTCATCGACTGAATTCATGTTACTGCCACTTAAAGAATTTTGGGGGCTGTGAAAAAGGTGATAACCCGAAGGCGCTAATTCAGGAGAATATGGTGGGTGAAGAATAATTTCCCATCCAAAGTCATTCGATTTTTTAAATGTTCGTTTTGCAATACGAAGCCTCGTATTGTCATGGTGGAATAAAATGCCTCGTCTATTGATTAGTGAGGGACGTTTTTCCTCCATTGCCCACTTCAATAGATCCAACTGATCACAGTAGAGGTCTTTAGTGATGGTTTGGTTAAGATCAAAGAACTCATGATGAAGGATTCCTCTCGTATCCCACCGAACATACATTATTTCTTCTTTCGGATGAAGTTCTCTCGCTTCTGTTCTCGGTGTTTCTTCAAGACTTACTCATTGTCGTTCACTAACAACGTTTTCTCTATATATTTCTGCAAGTTTCCGATAAGTTGAAGCAGGATTTTCTCCTTTATCGATTTACAAAGCATAACTTGGCAATAGTGGTTTTTGGTGAGATCCATTTTAATTAAAATATCAACTCAAAATAACTAACTTTCTTCAACAAAAAGACGAAGAAACTGAAAAGTATGTTGTGCTTTAATAAAAACAAAAAATATTATGGAGAGATTAGCAATATCAACATAAGCAAACAGATTTTTAAAAACTGACATTACTTATAGGATGATTTGATACCTTTCATTCGAAAGTCTTAATAAATAAAGAATATAATTTCTTAGTTTAATGATAATATTTAAGTGCTTTCATCTGGGTACTCTTTATTTACAATTTTTTGAACAAACCTTCAACTTGAGCAAGATGTTTCTGTAAGTGGAAACAATTGGTTCCTTTCTAACATACATAGACTATATACTTAAATTAATAAGTATGTGATAGTAAAGTTAGATGTATGTTCCACAAACCATCGTTTCTTACTTTCCACATTTCATCAAGTATTTTCTTTATTTCGTGGACCTCTAATGATTTTATGATATAGCTAAAAATTGCTTCTTACCATAACATTTTTATAAACATCAGTCCTAGATGTTTGTAATTCCATAAACTTATCAAAATTTAGTTTGAAATCCGCTTTCCGCTCATAGAACCTAAAATAGAATGAACTCATTTCCCTACTTCGCCGGCTTAGCGGTGACTAGAAGAGTGGACTCATACATTTAAATAGCCTCACTAGGGCTGGTGGATGGTGGATGGTGGATGGTGGATGGAGGTCGGTCTAGGCCTGGATATTATCCCCCCCCCCTTCCTCTCCCCTTCACCCTACTTATTCTCTATGGAATTGTTCACTTAGTACCTCACAACTATTCTACGACTGAACCAGAGGCTATTAGATAAAGTGGTTATTTTTCCGCATGAAGGGTTCGAGGACCACTTTATTCACCCGTCGGGAGGACCGTTAGCATCGAAGGAGAACTGATGTTTTTATTTATTATTTTTTCCTTTTTCATTTCTTCATAATAATACCACGAAACCTGTCGATTATTGTTATAATGATTTTGAAAATTTCAATATTGCATTGTTTTAGTGTCTGTTAAGTAAGAAATGTTTAGTATGAATTAACATTATTTTTTTTTTTTTATGTTGGAAGCGTTCTATGTTTATTGTAAGTGGATTTCGCCGGCTAGAAATAGGTGACCCTAGAAAGCTGTATTCCCAGATATGGCCGAGATATGTTAGACCATGGGAATGTTATTGTTGACAGACAAAACAGAGCTAGGTTCCCACCTTTTGTTGCTTTGAGAACTCACTACTCTTTTCTACATGGTCTCTCTGTATATAACATAGAGGATGATCCATGTATTTTGTACTGTCCGGTTAGTTTGTTTTTCGAAACCGAGAAAGCATGGTAGATGATCTGAAAATTGTATTCTGTGCTAATCCAATTCGTAATTCAATCTCTTTTCGATGGAAGCTTATCTAGATACAGTTGGGAAAGAATAAATAAAATATCGTTTTTATTTTTACTCCCTCATTTCCGAAACTAGATAGGTTTAAAAAAAAAAATTGTGCTCAGATTCGGAAATTTTTACTTTCAATTTACGTTTTAGGCATTTGGTTTCGTGTCTGTCTGTTGTCTTACATATGTACATCAGTTCAACTCGCTTGAAATTAATTTTTTTTTTAAATTTGGTTGATACCTAGATAGTCAATTTCAATTCCATCAACTACTTTCGCATGCTTTCAAAAACGACTCATTCGGATTGGCTCAATGTTGGATAAAAGTTGAGAATTAAAAAAAACAATAAAACTATAATTTTTATAATTTTATTATAATTATAATTAATATAATTTTTTAAAAAATATTATCAAATTTCATCCATTTCTTCCGCTCTCATATGAGCAAACTTATTTTCCTTGATTACATTTAATTACATTTTAACAGTTACTGTGAAGGTTTTTAGGAGAAAAGTTCCAGATATTACTTTTATTTATAAAAAAAACTTTTGCAATGTGGTTTCTGATATATCGATGCCTCTGCTTTCAGTTCGTTCGATTTGGCCAAAAATTGGAAATATTGGAGTAGTTTTCGCGGTGTGCGGTTACGTATAATAACGAACTGTCATTTTATGTAATAATTTGATTTTTAAAAAGAAAAGAAAATAATTGAGTAAAATAAAGAAAATGGTATCAGATCATTGTTGGATAGAACCTCCATTGGAGTGTTGTGTCAATAATTATTTTCTTCACAGGTCACTTTGGTTTATCAGTGACATTGATCATTATTTAACTTTTACATTCGCGTTTATTTTCGATATAGTTGTATATTTATATAAATAAAAGTGAACTAGCCTTTCGAAGGCGTACGAACTCAGTGCTTAAGCTTTGAAATTGTGAAGGCTCATTTGTGTCATACAGGATTATTAAACTCGAGTAATCATAGCGTGAATTCAAATTTCGGTCCAGTTCGCTTAACTATTCTGAACATTCATATGAATGGATGAAAGTTGGAGGATCATGGGCTGTATTCTGAATACTAACTGTTTATCAAAACCACAACGGCTTCTGAAGGATCAGCTATCATCCTATGTGGCTTGAGAAGGGTCCTTAAACGTAGGCTTAGTAGCTAGTAAGTTGTTAAGCCTGCTTTCATCTACTTGCATGGGAGGTTTAACCTGTCGAGGACATTATCCGGATTTAAGATGCAACAATAGTTTTATCCTCCCCACATATGCGTTCGAATGATCTTCTTCTTATCTCATATTCTCCGACAGTAATAGACCATCGCACTGCATCGATGGTTATCGTTATTTTTTTTTTCAATAATCTTTAGGTTTCGGCCATTTAGTTGGAAGCTACGTTTCTTTTATGTAACATAAATTGCATCTTTATTCGTACTTTATATTTTAAGAAATATTTTACTATCGAAGACTCCACGTTGTCCTTTCTTAAACGTGAGTGACCGCTAATACAACTTGCTTACACGTAAAGATAACTTTTTCGGTTTTATTTATTTAGTAATATAACCCTTCCGAGGCGTCTGAAAAGAAGATGGCCTCGTGATCTACTTATGTAAATATATTATTAGGGTGCTACCAATGGGTAGTTTTTCAACAAGCGTTTTCATGTGATTGTATTATTACTGTGTGCAAATTTACTAGTTGTATTTTTTTATAATACAGTTGTAAATATCAATGAATAAAAAAAAAAAAATAAAAATGTAATATAACAATCTGTCACACGGACAATAATTATAGTGAGGTAAGAACACAAAATAACCACTGAATAATAGTCGAAAAGTATATAAAATTTAAAATTAAATAACTTTTTTTTTTATTTATTCATGATATTTACAACTGTATTAAAAAATTAAATACATTAAGTAAATTTGATAACAGAAAATAAAAACATGAAATGACTTGTTGAGAAACTACCCACTGGTAGCACTCTAAAAACAAAATGTATTTACAATAAGAGATCTCGAGACCATCTTCTTTTCAGACGCCTCGGAGGGTTATCAGGAATAGAAGAGGAAGCAAGGTTAGAGACGAGAGGATTCGGATGGTTCTGAAGTTTATTATGGAAGGATTGGTATCTGGATTGGGCCAAATCGGAAACATAAGGAACATTAAGGTCATTATGGATTATTTTATTGGTGACAAAGTAAGGAGCATTGAGGATTTTCCGAAGGATTTTGGATTGTAAGGATTGGATACGAGAGGAATTCGATGGCTTAGTGGAGCCCCAAAGCTCAACTCCGTAAGTCCAAATAGGTCTTATTGTAGTCATGTATATAAGTCTTTTGTAATTTACTCGAAGCTTAGAGCGTTTGTCTAGTAAGTGTTGGGGTAGTCGGAAACGTCGAGCGGTTTCTTGTCGTTTCAGTCTGGTATGAGGATTCCAAGTTACACGTTTGTCCAAGTGAAGTCCAAGGTATCGGATTTGTTCAACAGGGATAAGTGGGGTATTATTAAAGGATACTGTGGGACATGAGGTCATAGGTTTACGTCGAAGGGTAAAGGTGATTTGATGCGATTTTTTAGAATTTATTTTAATCCTCCAGTTTTGACACCATTCTTCAAGGCTTGTGATGTGCGATTGAAGAGTTTTAAATAACTTAAAGATAATAAATACAATTAATAAAAAATAGTCTCGTAAATTCTTACGTCAGGATCCTGTATGTTTTCAGACTTAATTCTAATCTAGAATTTTAAGTATTGAATTTAATGGCTTCTATATCTTCGTTTAATAATGTTAAAAAAATCAGATAAAATTAACAAAAGAAATCAACAACAAAGAATTTATCAATTCATTAAACAAGCGGACAAAAATGTTTTAATTATTGTTGTAATAATTAAAATGTTAAATATACTATCAACGAAATTAGCCAAAGAGAAATTTTGGCGTTTGGATATAAATATTAATAAACTAACGGTAATAGCTTTAGCTAATGCGAGATCAAAGGCCAAGAGAAAAGGAAATTTTGAGGTGGTGAAGGATAGCCAACTTTGGCAGCTACTGCCACCTTAATTCCATCAAACACTACAGCCAATAAACTCTCTGCTTGGTTTACTACGTCATAATGGTGACATCATAAGGTTTAAGGCTCTTAAATCATTTTCAAAAATCCCTATTTATTTCTGACAATGGGCGCTTCTTAACCACTTACGGATCATATTATCCTTTGCACAATATTTATATTAGAAGATATAAAATTTAACAGTAAACTTAAAGGTCGAAAAGATTAAAATATTTACTAAACAAATTTTAATTTACAAAAAGCAAAATTAAAAAAATATTAATTTTGTTAAAATTTGATCGAGTTGATCCACCCATGACTGCTTTACAAATTCCGTAAATTCCTAGATCCTACATACTTCCTCATTATTCGTTCCTACTTAACTGATAGATTAACTTCAAATTAAATCGCAATAATGCTTATTCATCCCTCTTTTCCCATTCCGCTGGTGTTCCTCAAGGTAGTATCCTTGGTCCTATCCTTTACGTAGTTTATCCTATACATAGCTGACATCCCAACACTGTCATGACCACCTATGCCGATGACACCTGTGTCCTTTCAGTTAATAATGATCCAATTATTGCATGCCGAACTCTCCAATCACACATCACAAACCTCGAAGAATGGTGTCAAAATTGGAGGATTAAAATAAATTCTGTCAAATCACCTTTATGCTTCGTCGTAAACCTATGATTTCCTGTCCTACAGTATCGTATATTAGTATTGTCTTTGTTAACTTATCTTCTTTTAATTTGTAACTTTTAAGTTTTATAACTTTAATGCATTTGTATCACCATATTCAACTGTAACTATTTTTAACTTGATAAATTTTACATTGTATTTTTTAGCCGTAGTTTTGTTATTTATGCGTAAGTAGTAGTTGATCTTATTGTAATATAGGGCGAAAATGACCGTGGCGGTAGAAGAGTCCAAAACATTTATAAATAAATATTTACCACACTCAAAACACAATTAAAACGTTTCTTAAACTTATTCTTTGAGTTGCCTTTTATTAATAATAGCTTTCCTGGTTTCAGGGATGAGTGCAAGGAGATAGGGTTCACGGCGGTGGTGGACATGAGGGGCGCAGGCTCCACTTGGACCACGGTCAAGCCGATCCTCAAGGTCTTGCACGACCACTTCGCCTCTGCCATCCACGTCGTCTACATCATCAAGCCTGACAACTTCTGGCAGAAGCAGAGGACCTCGCTCGGATCTCACAAGTACAAATTCGAGGTAAGCTATTAGCTTTCAATATTTTTATTTTCAGTCCCAAGATCAATTATTAATAATTCGTATTTACTCGATGACTTGTTAAAAACATAGATGAAATTTTATTTGGGACTTGTTGAAATCGATTTTACAAGACATTTTGAAAGAAAAAAATATAACAGTGAGATCAAAGACATACAGACTCCAATATTTTTAATTAGGACAAACAGCTTATCCTTACGTTAAAGCTTCTCATCTATGCGACCATAATACCTCTATTGTATGGTGCAACAATGTTCCCCATTGCAATATTTTCAAAATGGATTAATCAGAAAAAATAGTCAGAGGAACTTCAATGCAAAGATTAAAAACATTGGTCAACTCTAAAGTTATCTTCAATTGGCGAATTCCTCTGTAACGTCAGAAATCGCTTTTCGAAAACCCTAAACAGTTGGCTAACCTTTTTTTTAACAACCTGATTCCAGAAATTATTCCAAAACTTTATCAACAACTACCACAAGATTAAAGATTTAACTTTTAATTTATCGTAAGTGATTACTTTTTAAGGTAAATTCGAGTCAGATGTGAGCCCCATCACCGATATATACATGAATACAAAAATATATAAATCTCAAAAAATACACCTTACAGCGCTTTTACCAGTAGAAGGATTATAAAGTTGAAAGAAAACATTATCAGATCACAATATAAATAAAAAAGAGGAGAATTGAAATTGAACTCAATAAAGTTAGATTTTAATTTGATGCTATAATGGTGAGTATTAAAGATTACTAAAATATTTAACATATCTGTAGACCTTATATTGCCTCATTCAATTATCGTTTCTTTTTAGACGGAGTAAGCCTGCGGGCTCTATCCATTAGTGTTTCCCAAATGCGAGACCAAGACGAGTCTTGCACATTCAGTCTTGGTCTTGGTTTTGCGCAAGAATCTTGCAACAATCTTGTAGTTAACTATTAGCCTATTATGATAGGGAAACGTAAATAAGCCCGAATGAAAAATTTGAAGAGTTAAATGTCTAAGTTTATTAGTTATACTAATTCTTTACATATAGTAACTAAAATTGTCAAGTATTAGAAACCATTTTGCCTTAATTTTTATTCACGTTTTTTTTTAAATATTTTTTTATTTTTTTTTTCTAATCTTAGTCTTGTAAAGTACAAGACCAAGACCTATTTTGGGCAACACTACTATCCAAGGGGCTAAACCACGTCCTATCGGACGTTGCTAATTATCTTTGCAAATATACATTGGAAAAAAATTGGGACGTTTTGCGTTTTTATTGTTATAACCTGATCTTCATCGACACGAAGAATACAAAATTCATGCAAGTAGCCAATTCCCTGATCCCCCGAGCTCACTCCACTTTTAAACTTGAAGAATACCGAGAACCTCGTTCGGTTTCTTATGCGAAGCAGATTTCACCGTCGACCGTCGAGTTCCCTCCTCGGGCATATAGAGGGGAGGCTATAAAGGGACAGCGAGAAACTGGGATCTGAGGGCCGTAGTTTTATTGGGTTCTTCGGTTCCAAGGCAAGTTGTCACGTAACCCATTACAGTTTATCTCCCTCCAGAGCACACATCCGTCCTCTTCTAAAGGAAGATAGCCGTCAATCTGGTTTTATGTTTTTTTTTACTGTTTGATTGGTATTTAATGTAAGTGAAGGTCTGGGAATTAAGTTTACATTAGAGGACGTGCTATGTGGCTTCTTTACTTGTGCTTTTCTTCATTCAACAGAACCTGTTAAAATATTTTTCAGACCTGATCTTAAATAATTAATCAATATCTTAGGTTTTAGAGAATAAGATCGTTTTTTTTTTTGTATGATTACCATTAACAGTTCCAAAATATGTTTGATTAGTAAGCACTCCGTTGTTATGAAAAGTATATGAAATACTTAACTAGCATTTGAGCCTTTCAGTTGATAGAAAGGCTAACTCCAATTTCAACATTTTTCATTATCAATTTTAGTGGTATTTCTATTGAGGAAATTTAAATCTTTATTTGCAGTTCTATATTTCAACACTGCAATCACCTACTCTGTAATCAACTTACTTACTGTCTGTACAGATATTATAAATTTTCCAAATGGAAATATCACTAAAATGACTTGACTCTAAAAATGTTGAAATTGGAGTTTACTCAGTCAACTCATATAATTGTAGATGCTTGTAGTTGGAGTAAGGTTGAAGGTTGTAGTAGAGTGAAATCTACGATTTTTTTTTTTTTCTATTTGCCGACGTTTAAGTACTGAATTTGATTGTTCAATGCTTTATAATTTGGAAAATGAACGGTAAAAAATGTATACTTGATTCACACAAACAAAAAAATGAATCGGAAATTTGACCCGATGGCAATACTTTCCTTACCTAGTTTAGGTAGGAACGTAATAAGTTAAAAAATGTGTAAACAATATAATAAGCTGTATTCGATTCCGATGATTTTTTTTTCTTTTGGTAATTTAATTAATTAATTGAAAGGAAAATTGTTAGAACATTATAGGAAAGTTTCATCAAAATCGTTAGAGCCATTTTTGTGCTACAGTCTATAGAAAAACGTGTCTTTTATTTATTGCGCTCAAGCGACGAATTTCTGTCACAGGCATCAGTTGTCAAAACCCTACAAAATAGAAAAAGAAGCAACAAAATCGGTTTAGTAGTTCCCGAGAAAATCTTGGCACAGACAGACAGACAGACAGACAGACAGACCAATGGCTAAAAATGTGTTTTTCGGACTCAGGGGGCTCTGAAACGTATAGATCCGTCGAAAACCGCATATCGGAAATTTGACCCGATTGCAATACTTTCCTTACCTAGTAAAGGTAGGAAAGTAAAAAAAAGAGAGACAGTCCTATGAGGCATATATCAAGTTGAATACCAACATGAGCTGTATTGTAAGAAAAGAAGTGAATAATAATCATGAACGATTGACTGGAAAATATATTTAAAATGCTATGGTATCAATGAATGACTAAGTTCAAAGAAATACTTTTTATATTTATAATTAATGTCTTATTAAATACTTACAATACAAATTACTAAACCTTTTATGAAAACAGCAACCCCAGGCAAGGGTGAATCTACGGGGGAGGGGAGGCTTTCGGGCTGAAGCCTCCCCAAAATGGTAAAATATAACCATGTTTTCTCGAAAAAAATATTTAAAAAGTATCTCTTAAAGTATTATTGTTCGTGTAATTACATTTAAAAGGGCTTTAGGAATTACTTAAACACCATTTCATATAGGTAGTTAGTTTCTTTCTTTTTTTTCCGAAGTAATTATCGTTATTTTTATGAAAAAAAAACTTTTGGGCTGAAGCCCCCCTCCTCCCCTCCAAAATCACCAAAATCAAATCCTGGATCCGCTAGTGACCCCAGGTGTTGTATTTAACCGACTAGTATAAAAGTTATTTGAGGTGGGCATTCGTCCCTCGGACAAAATGTTACCCGCGGGCACAGGGTTGAGGCCAGCCCCCATGTATACAACAACCAGCATCATTTTAGTGGGTTCTTGTCTTCAAAAAGTATGCCGTGTTGGATACAGGAGGGCAGTTTAACTGTTTTTTTTCTTCTTTTTTTTCGAAATGAAGTTTCATATATAATATCAATCTATTTAAATCTATTGATTTTGTTATTATTGAAGACTATGACTGATGATGACTATGAATTCACTATATTTTAGAGTTTGATATATATAACTAAAATTTACAAAAAAAAAATTGCAGCCGCTTTACTCTTTTAAAGTTCTCAAAATGTTTTTCTTAACTATATATCAAATAGTAAACATTTAGGGAGAAAAAAAAAAACCAATAATTGTCATTAATGACAAAGTTGTATTTTCGATAATTTAAGACTGGGCATAATTAAATAATAATTTGTAAATGTATACAAATGTTCTACAAAAGTTATAACAGCTAATATTAAAGATTTGCTCTCAAAATTACAGCTTGCGTTCTTGTACATGCGTACGCTATTAGGTTTGAACAGGTGTTGTTTTATGCCGTAGCAGCTGCCTTCTGTCTACGAGACCTGGGTCCCTAATAGGACTCTTTTATTAATCTACAAATTTGGAATTTATAAATAGGTTTTTTCCTGGAAATTATTAAATTCTGAACGTTACGTTGAAGACAGTAAATAAAAGTTATGTATTTTATAATTTTTTTTTTTTTTTTAATTTCTTTATTGAGTATTATAACAATCTGTCTGTTGGAATTAAATTCCTTATTTGCACTTGTATAAATCTATTGATGAGGAAAAATGTATTGGTCATAATCTTTCGAAAAGTGACACTTCTATCCTATGTGACAGTGAAGTAGAATCAATGATTCATAAAGGTGACAAAAGATGATATGCAGTTGAAACTACACAAGTATAATTTATTATTAAGCTTAATTTAATTATACCTATAATAAATAGTGGGTCCGTGCGATAATTCGCACAGTTTATTGTTCAGAGATCAAAAAATAAATTAATAAGAAAATAAAACAATAAAACATATCATAAAAGAAATCGATTGTTACTTTCTCGCTAATTATAATCGACAAAGTAAACAAAAATTAATTTAAATCTTCATTAATGTTTGGAACCAACATGTTTACAAATTTCAATAAGTTGTATCTTTGTTAAAAATAGTCCGATTTCGATGATGTTTTTTCCCCTTGTGTAGGAAATTTTATATAATTATGGACATAACCTTGGTAAAAGTTTGTAATTTTCGAGTTATTCGAAAATGAAGTTACTTTTCTTTCATAACTTTTTCGCCTGAATTTTCGGGGTGATTGGACTATTTTGCCCGCCTGAAGGAGAAGGAAACCTTCAAAATTGGTGGCTCAATCTTGGGATTGGGTGAAGAATTAACGATGATGTGGCTTACCGCCAAAAAGACCTTCGATAAATAATATAAACTCCTCCTCTCTCGGTCATAGGGGCCCAAGTCGACGAAATGAGACATGTATTCCATGACAGTTCTACAGTTAACGTAAAGTTGTTTGGATGCGAATCTTATGGCTTGCATTATC